CACATGCTTTTCACGCGTTCGTTACTTATTCATGTATTAGCATGCATCTAAAATTTACGATGCGGGCGTCCATGTAGGTTTCAAACATTTACTGTGCAGGTTTTCAATACTTAACAGGCAGACGTCCAATACTTACCATGCAGGCTTCTTATGCTTAACATGCAGACGTCCAATACTTACAGTGCCGGTTTTCAATACTTAACAGGCAGGCGTCCAATACTTACCATGCAGGCATACCTACCGTGCAGGCATACAAAACTCACCATGCAGGTTTGCACCACTTACTATGCAGGCATCCAATACTTACCATGTATGTTTCCAACACTTACCATGTAGACATCCAATACTTACCATGCAGGCGTCTATTACGTGGCATGCAGGTTTCCAATACTTAACGTGTGGGCATTCAATGCTTACCATGCATACATCCAATACTTACCATGCAAGCGACCAATACTTACCTTGCAGATTTCTAATACTTAACAGCCAGGCGTTCAATACTTGCCACGCAGGCATACCTACCGTGCAGACATACACTACTTACCATGCAGGCAAACAATATTTACCATGGAGTTATCCAATACTCACCATGCAGGTATCCAACACTTACCTTGCAAACATACAACATTTTCCAAGCAGGTATCCAAAACGTACCATGCAGGCATCCAATACTTATCATGCAGGCATACAAAACACACCACTGAGACATACAATACATAGCATGCAGGTTTGCAACACTTATAGTGCAGGCTTCCAATACTTACCATGCAGGTTTCAAATACTTACCGTGCAGGTTTCCAATACCTACCTGTGGGCATTCAATGGTCACCATGCATGCATCAAATATTTCCAATACAGGCCTAGGCGTCCAATATTAGCATGCAGGTTTCAAAAACTTACCCTGCATTCATCAAATACTTACGTATTCAGTAGATGCCATCCGCTGAAAACTGTTTAATAACCTGTTATGACCACACTTGTATAAGTATTATGCAATCCTGATTGCACAACCAATACTTACCATTCACGTACTCAGTAGATACCGTGCGCACAAATAATACTTACCATACACGCACCCTTTCTCATCGCTACCATCACCACACTGGTTTATACGATCACATAACCACATCCGGGGTAAGCAGAATTCTTCTTTGTCGCCCTCACATTTGAACTCGTGTATATCGCAATCTAAAACAAAATTGGGCAAATTGATAAGGCAACTTCCTGAACAATATGTGCAGTGAACTTATCCATATGATAATAACGAATTAGGAACTAGTAAGTAATTACTTTGCTTACTGTCGACTTACCTACAGAATACACACATGCTACCTCGTCACTCTTATCTCCGCAGTCGTCAACTCTGTTACATACTTGCGACGAATTAATGCACTTATCAACTGATACGCAAGTAAACTGATTGTCTTCGCAGATTATTGGAGGTGGTTCTAAGCCTGGTGAGTAGAGAAAAAAAATGTATAATCAGAATGTTTCATCAAAGCGGGGTTTTATGTATAGGCAATACAACGGAACGACTGAGTGTTGTGAGGGCGTAGCCCAAAACAACTCCCCTCTGACCCGTTATGCTACCTACTAAATATCCGACGCCCCGTGGTGTTATCTACATATGCACTTGCTGCTTTGATTTATTTTTGAGTAGGAGGCGTCAACATATTTCCGCCATCTGGTGACACAGACCAGCCAGGACCACACCTCCTGTCAATCACTTGGTCGCCGTATGAATACACTAAACATTCATACTTATCAACAAAATTCAAAAAGGGCAATTATGAATTATAAATTCAATTTAACATACGAGACTCTCTCAATATATATAATTTTCGATCGGCGGTTTAGCAGATTTCAGATCAGATAAACCACCTCGCACGCAGGGTCGTACACAGGCTCGTGCGCAGGCTATTCTGGGATATAAAGACCTCCCCAAGATTAGGTTTCGTGGCTTACGTTTTGCACATAAATACTCATACAAATCGACATTCTCAATCCGTATACTGTAACAAAAGACGAAGAACACAAAATAGCACGATGGATTGATTCAAATACAGAGGTAATGAAATTCATTATCGCCACGACCCTTTACAATGTCAGTGTTAGTATATATATGTATTCACCTGTGCAGTTGAATTCGTCAGATGCGTCCATGCAGTCCACTTTGTTGTCACATTGCATTGACAAGTCAATACACTGGCCACTGGTACATTGGAAATTATTGATAGGACACTGAACTGTTGGTTTAATAATCATGGCATTCCATTAAAATTCGCAATAAAATACACAAAAAATAAAAAAGACTAAGTATAGTAGAG